CCCACCCGCGGGTGACCCGTTGTGGGATTTCTTTTACCACCCGGGTGACCCGGGTGACCCACCCGCGGGTGACCCGGATTGGGATTTTTGTGACGGGTCGGAACACTATTTTGGTCTGTCCTAAAAAATACCAGACTGGGCCCAGTCCTAAGATGGACCGCAGGACCGACGGCTTATTTTGCGCCGGTGATAAAACCAAAATAATAGATAAGGAAAATTTCTTTCGTATATCGCAAGATCAGGTGTAACTGTTGATGTAACATGAAAACGAAGGCTTTTCAAAAATAGCCGGTAACTCAAAATTCTGCCTAAGAAATCACCTTTTACGTTCTAGCAAACCAAATTCTTCGCAAAATTGTAGTATATTCTAAGCCTTATTCTAACTCCAACCCTAACACTAACACCGTGACTCTCACATGTTATTTGTGCAAACAAAAATGGTTTCCTTTTTGGGTTTGTACCACCGGTGCAAATGAGTAAATTCTTAATATTAATAAGTAAATCCGCCTATCTTTAACCTTTAAATTATTGATATCATGATCTAAATGTATCAAGATCTGCAATGATTGATTAAGAGTTTTCATTTTCCTACAAATACATACGTACGTACGTACGTAAATCGCATACATAAATAACATGCTGTAAATCATACATTTCGCTTCACTACATTCTTGGTATTGCATCTAGCGCCAAAAACTATTTATTTAGCTTTATTTCTTGCATTTTGATAATATAATAATAACAATGATGCATTTTATAAATATTATAACAACCAATCTCCCAACTTCAATTACTGCGTTACTAATTTTATATATAATCAGACATTACTATAAATATTTTACTAGAGTGAATCCACTTCCCGGTCCATTTCCGTGGATGCCTATAATAGGAAATACTCTAGACGTGTTCAGATATAAGTTAAACTTGGATGAGTACATTAAGGATGTTCAATCGAAATATGGTGATTTTTGTGAAATTCACTTGGGTCCTAAACGAATTCTCATAGTTTCAAATAGTGATGTAGCGTATCCAATTCATACCTCTTCAGTGGCTCATAGTTATAAATTTTTATATCGTGATTTATCAAATCCTAGATTTAATGTAGTAAATATGGAAAATAGTGGAATAATCGCTAATAGAAATTTGGATCAATGGAAAATCAATCGCGAGTTCTTCATAAGAATAGCAATGTCAAAAAAATTTTTAAAAATGCTTGCAGGAAAAACATATGAAACGACTGCAGATATGTTTAAACTATGGGATATTATGATAAATGACAAGCAAGATGTTGATTTGTCTAAATGGCTAGAAAGGCTTGCTGGGGATATAGCAATCTCAACTTCAACTGGACTATCTGCTTACTCAAAGATTGACTACTTTAATTCGCTAGGATATGAATATGATCTTAATTATATTCCAGCTTCAGAACTGGAACAATCTTCGAAATTAATTTCTCATATTAATTCCTTTTTTAAAGCATTGCAATGTAATAATTTTATAATGTATATTGTAAATAACCATTATAATTAAAAGGTTAATATTCTTTTTATTTTTATTATTAATTTTTTTTTGACTCAAGGGTTCAGTATTGTCCCATCTTTTATAAGGCATACTCCTGGCATAAGCTACTTTAACAACAAGATTTTTAACAATGTAAAAAACTTGGAAGTCTTTTTACTTGAAGTAATTCAAAGAAGACGCACAGAAATAGACTTATTATCCAATGACTCTTTACTGCCGTCCGACTTTTTAACATTGCTCCTTACCGTCAACACATCACGAGATCTAGAACATATTTTTTATAAGTCATTAAGCCGACCTTTGAATGACCATGAAATTTTTGGTGTTATTAGAGACATATTCTTGGGTTCCATCAAAACGGTGGCTAATTTTTTAATATGTTGGTAATAGTACATTGAAAATAATACTAATATTTTATAATATTAATATTTAACTCATAACAGGTTACGACTTCAATGTGTACAGTATTTTACTATGTATGCAAATATCCTTCTGTACACTCTAAAGCACTTTCGGAGATCAGTGAAATTTTCGGGCATTCAATATCTTTAAATTCCTTTTACGAAGGTATCGAGAAACTACTATATTGTGATGCCTTAATTCAAGAAGCACTTCGCTTAACCACGCCAGTTCCGTTATCTCCACGATCGAATTCTGAACCTGTAGAAGTTGGTGGATATCTATGGAAAGAGGAACAATCATTTTTACTATCTTGCCAGAAAATAAATATCAACAAAAATGATTGGATTGATGGTGAAATTTTTGATCCAGAAAGATTTTTGAAGAATATAAATAGTAAGCGATCAATGAATGCTAAAGAAGCTAACAATAAAAGGGCATTTACGACATTTGGTGGAGGTGCTAAAATTTGCCCGGTTTGTATTAGTAAAAGCTACAATATATATAAAAATTATTTAGTAAATTTTAAGAATTGCTTATTTATATAATTATATTACAGGGAAAGAACTGGGCGATTACTGAAATAAAAGTATTTTTAGTGGCAGTATTAATGAAATATGATTTGGAATTTGTAAATAAAGATCAAGGATTGGACCTATGTTATGATCCATCTTATCATTGGCGAGAACTTAAAATCCGTTTAAGACCTAGAATGCTGGATGAATAACTTAAATTGTAATTAATTCGATCTTATACTCAGACGATTAAGTTCTCAAGTTTAAATTTTTATGAAATAATCAACATCTTTTTTCATTTCTCTATTCATATATTGCATTTTATAAAACCATGCTTTCTTTTCTTCGTACCCCTTGAATGTGTGCCATTTTCGCCATTAAAAAATTTAAAAATTCAAGTACTAACTACAACACAAATTTAATGAATAAAAATACCATTTCTTAATGATATCTAAAAAGTATTTCTACCAGATTCTACCAGATTCGTGTCTTTTTAATTTCCAAAAAGTACATCCTCTTCATATTTTATAACATTTAGTCTATAGTATTATTATTATTCGATTGCTTTTTTCATAATGTCCTTCAACTTTTTTTTACAATTCAAAATAATAGTAGTTCATCAAAGTTCTTAATTAAATACAAAATAAAAAGAACATATTGACCTTAAAAATTTGGTTAATAATTGCAAATAAATATCAAATATGTATAGTTGATAAAATAAATACAGAAATATGTATTGTATACTTTATAAAAAAATTCTTTACCAAAAATTTTTCATATAGAATGCTTAAACAATCTTTTAACACGAAAAATAATAATACTAATGGATCCCTAACCTAAACTATAAAGGGAGTTTGTTTTTAAAAATAAGGGGAGGGACT